TGTGTGTGTTTGGTAACGTGCAGGCTCTTAATGGAAATCTGATGGTAAGACAAAATTTTTGATTCCAAATTGCTGTGAATTAGAGCAATCCTACAATAGGAATGCGAGAATTGAGAGCATATAGTTCATTCAGGAACAAATCTCTTGTCATTAGGATAGGGCTGAGGATGATAACCACATTGTTACACTACGGTTGAAACAGCGAGCACTGATCACCTTATAAGAATGTATGTGATTCTCACCGTCGTTTCAGAAATAAATCGAACTGATATATCTTAATAACGACTATTTCTGAAACATTTGCATCGGTAAACTTGATTAAGAGCTTGGATTATTGATGCACTCCCGAACAGGTGTTTCGAAGTGACAAAAAATCTTAGATACGACCGAAATTTTGTGTTTCGATTAGATGACATGCGGAAGTGTTCTGCAGTGGTTCCAAGGACGCATATTTTATTCAGATCAAATCAAAAGTTATTAGCGAAAGACAACAATTAGTAAACCAGCAAGCACTCACAAGAAATAACATTACTAATTGTGTGTCTCTCACCGTGATCGGACGTCCGTGTTTTATCCACTCGATATCGACCACACCAAACGGCGCTGATACCGGACATTCGAGTGTCACTGAATGTCCCTCCATCACATCAATAACGGTACGATCACCTGATTCATTTATTTCGGGAGGTGCAATGATCTGAAAACAAAAAAAAAAATTCACAAGTGTTCCACGATCAGATAAATTTGAAATCATCATCTTTATGGAATGTTGATGAAGTAAAGAGAGTCACAGACACGTGTTTATAAAGCTAGGCACCCATCTATTGCGATATTATGAAGATGTGTTAAGTATCATTCCGCAAATCCAGTTGTCTATCTCAAAGTTGCCTATTTCAAAACTCTTAATAAATCGCCTCAATCCCATGGAGAATCAAGCTCACCTGAACTGTGAATTCACGTGAAGCAGTACCAGCTTTATTGTTTGCCAAGCAGGCATATCTGCAAATAATCATGTTCAATAGGCTAAACACAAGAGTTCTGGTCGAGTGCAATGAGGAAGCTAATCACCATAACAAAGCGTACTATTTAATAGACTACTAGAGTGGCAGAAAATAAGTTGTACAAAGTATATAATACAAGTAACATCTATAGCTAGAAGTGAAGTGAGTAACTGTATCGGCTGTCTTCTCAGTCAGAACGTAGTGATTCTCGTTGATGAGATAGATGGGTTTTAATGTTCTTCCACTTTCAATTCAACATCGAATCACACTCAGTTTTCAAGGAATCATACAAAACATGCCATAGACATTATGATTAACGAGGTAAGAAACATAATGGCACGAATCAATATCTAATCCTTGAATGATCTTTCGAGCCATCAAAATTCTCGGGATTACAAAGTACTTCGTGAATGTGGCAGATTAATTATCTTCTATGCGATGACTGTACCTGTGGTTAGCATTTGTAGTATGCTGTATGATGAGTTTCTGATTGGAATCACTGAATGCTGCGCTTTTGTCATGAATGTCACGTCCGTCTCGAAGCCACCTGATCGTCGGCTGAGGATTACCGTTCACATAACACGTCAGTGTTAAGGCTATACCAGTCGTGATTTGAATATTATCCATATACTCT